TGGAAAAATTCAGGCTCCTGGGTCAAGAAAAATGCATCCCATTTGTAACACTGAATAAATTGAGTACACACAGTTTTTATGCTTTGAGTAACTACAAAATCATATTTTAATAACCACACTTGCCAATACTTTATGTGGAAAAAAAAAAATCCAAGCTCTTGATTACTGATCTTTAATATCAACACCATCACATTGATAAAATACCAAATTATCAAAAAAACCCAAAAGGTTTTTAATCTCAGTTCTTCTGCTTGCTACAGTCTAAGAAAGATTCCTCATAATATAATTCTTGTACTTCTGATGCTTCCTCATACATAAAAAGAACAGCCTTGTGCCATCTTCAGTGATAAGAAGTGACAGGCAGAGCATGACATCACTCTTTATTTTTAACTGACTGCCTTCTGGTGAATTTATTTTGCTGTCAGTAAATATTACAGCAGTGTTAGTCACATTCAGGCTTTATGGAGACAGAAGCCCTGTGCTGAGTCTGATCCCAGAAGCCAGCAGTACTTAGCATTTGAAGGGGGGATCTTTATTTCTAAATTCAGCACAATGGCTTGCATCCACAGACAGATTAATAAGAATATGTCTCAGAAACATGCTAAAGTACACATCAAAGGTCTACAACCACCAGAGGTATCCACGGGAATTTTACCACTACAGCTGCACCAGATGATAGGCTAATCACTTACAAAACTATCAAATCCCATACTCAAGAACATAGCTTTAGTCAGCAAACAACTGACTACTGATATTTAATTAAACTCGCCACCAGTCTGAGTCCAGCAGCTTTTAACAGTGTCCATGTTCCTATTATTGCTAATATCACATCTTCTTAGTATCACTACACATGCAGTGTCTAAAATAAGATAGGGTAAGTAAGTTTATTTCCAGAGAACATAATTCAAAGACATGTTTCTATCCTTCTCCTGCAGACAGTGAGAGTCTTTAAAATGAAGAAGTGGAGAAAGTGCATCTTCAGGATTCCCTAAGACAACAGAGATCCAGCATGGACTATGCATAGACTACCCTGTCTCCATTGCCTTTGTAAATCTATTTGGCTTTCCTCATCCGCTAGCTTGTCGTCTGGCTTCTCTCTAAGGAAAATGAAATATTCAAGCACAGTGTAGCCTTAATAACTATCACATCATCATTGTTATTACTAAATAAACCTACTAGTATGTTATTACCAACTAATGCTACCTGGGGCCTGGGTTAAAGATGTGAAGATTCCTACCTTCGTACAGCCCTTGAATTATCATCCATTATTGATTTTTCAGGTAGGCAGTGATGATGTTGCAACAAGAAGTCTGAAGGCAATCAAAAGAGACTTCAGGGCCTTGGGAAGACTGGTTAAGGATCAGGAGCACAAGTAGTGCTCTCCTCTATCCTTCCAGTTGCAGAGAATGATGAGGGAAGAAAGAGGAAGATCCAGCAGACCAATACCTGTCTCTGAGCCTGGCACCACTGGCAGAATTTTGGGGTCTTTGATCATGGGTCAGTTGACAGGACACCAGGCCTGCTGGCAACAGATGAGGTACACCTGTCCCAAAAGGGGAAAAGGATCTTTGCACAGGAGTTAGCAGGGCTCACTGAAAGAGCTTTAAACTAGATTTGAAGGGGGAAAGGGATAAAACCAGGCTCACTAGAGATAATCTTGGGGGTATCCCTGTTTGAGGGACAGTGTGCTAGCGAGGTCCTTTAGTCTGCCTTCTCTGTGAAGGTGGGGGTTGGAGATTCATGAAGCAGCAAAGAAAAAATACATGGAAATACAATACAGTGGGGAGGAAACAGTTCAGGAAGTTCCTGTATTGTGTGGAAGACAACCTCTGACACAGCTGGTGAGGAAGCCAACTAGGGAAGGTACCCCTCTGGACCTTCTGCTGAAGGACTTGTGGGTGATGTGATGGTTGGAGGATGTCTTGGGCATAGTGATCACAAAATTACAGTTTTCAATTCTTGGAGAAGTAAGGATGGGTAGTCACCAAAACTTTCACCTTGGACTTCTGGAGGGCTGACTTTGGCCTGTTTAGGAGCCTGGTTGTAAAGAGTCCCTTGGGAGTCAGTCCTGAAAGGCAGAGGAGTCCAAGAAGGCTGAACATTCTTCAACAAGGAAATCTTAAAAGGTGCAGAAGCAGGACGTTCCCATGTGCTGAAAGATGAGCCAGCAGGGAAGAAGACCGGTCTGGCCAAAGAGAGCTTTGACTGGAACTTAGGAAAAAAAGGAGAGTTTATGACCTTTGGAAGAAAGGTAAGTCAACTCAGTAGGACTACAAAGATGTTGTGAGGTTATTCAGGGAGAAAAACAGAAGGGCCAAAGCCTGTCTAGAACTTAATCTGGCTACTGCTGTAAAAGACTGTTTCTATAATTATATTAGCAACAAAAGGAGGGCTAAGGAGAATCTCCATCCTTTATTGGATGCAGGGGAAAACACAGTGACAAAGGCTGGTGAAAAAGCTGAGGTACTTAATGCCTTCTTTGCTTCAGTCTTTAAGAGTAAGGCCAGTTGTTCTTTGGGTACCCAGCTCCCTGAGCTGGAAGACAGCAACAGGGAGCAGAATGAAGCCCCCATAATCCAAGGGGGAATGGTTGGTGACCTGCTACAGCACTTAGACAACACACAAATCTATAGTGTTGGATGGGATCCACTCCAGGGTACTGAGGAGCTGGTGAAGTGCTCATCAAGCCACTTCCCATCATCTATCAGCAGGCCTGGCTAACCAGCGAGGTCCTAGTTGACTGGAAGTTAGAAAATGTGACACCCATCTACAAGAAGAGCTGTAAGGAGGATCTGGGGAACTACAGGCCTGTCAGTCTGGGCTTGGTGCCAGGGAAGGTTATGGAGCAGATCACCTTGAGTGCCATCACACAGCATGTACAAGGTCATCAGGCCCAGTCAGTATGGGTTTATGAAAGGCAGGTCCCGCTTGAACAACCTGATCTCCTTCTATGACAAGGTCATCTGCTTACTGGATGAGGGAAAGGCTGTGGATGTTGTCTGCCTAGAATTCAGTAAAGCCTTGACTCTGTTTCCCACAGCATTCTCCTGACGAAACTGGCTGTCATGGCTTGGTTGGGTGTACTCTTCACTGGGTAAAAAACTGGCTGGATGGCCAGGCCCAAAGAGTTGTGGTGAACGGAGTTAAATCCAGTTGGAGGCCGGTCACAAGTAGTGTTCCCCAGGCCTCAGTACTGGGCCCAATTCTGGTTAATATCTTTATCAATGATCTGGACAAGAAGATCGAGTGCACCCTAGTAAGTCTGCAGATGACACCAAGTTGGGTGGGAGTGTTGATCTGCTCAAGGGTAGGGAGGATCTGCAGAGAGATCTGGACAGGCTGGAGAGATGGGATAAGGCCAACTGTATGAGGATCAACAAGGCTCAGTTCTGGGTCCTGCACTTAGGTCACAACAACCCCATGCATTGCTACAGACTTGGGGAAGAATGGCTGGAGAGCTATCAGGCACAAAAGGAGCTGGGGGTGTTGACAGCCAGCTGAACAGGAGCCAGCAGTGTGCCCAAGTGGCCAAGAAGGCCAGTGGCATCCTGGCTTGTGTCAGCAATAGCGTGGCCAGCAGGGACAGGGATTGGGCCCCTCAGTACAAGAAATACATTGAAGTGCTGGAGCACGTCCAAAGAAAGTTAATGAAACTGGTGAAGGGTCTAGAGCACGTCTTGCAAGGAGCAGCTGAGAGAACTGGGGTTATTTAGCCTGGAGAAAAGGAGGCTCAGGGGAGACTGTATCACTCTCTGCAACTACCTGAAAAGAGGTTGTAGTGAGGAAGGTGTCGGTATCTTCTCCCAAGTAACAAGCAATAGAACAAGAGGAAATGGCCTCAGGTTGCGCCAAGGGAGGTTTAGACTGGATATTGAGAAAGAGTCATCATTAAAAGTTATTTAAAAGCCATGTAAATGTACTTAGGGACATGGTTTAGTGGTGGACATGGCAGCGTTAGGTTAATGGCTGGACTCGAAGATCTGAAAGGTCTTTTCCAACCTAAATGATTCTATGATACTAGTAGAAGCCCAAGTTCTGAAAATCAAATTTTTGCATGACCACAGTAATAAGCATGACTAGATGGATGCAAGGGCAGAAATACATGTTTTCCTCCAAAAGAAGAACACAGCAAGAAGTTGGGTCTTGTCTGTCCTTCATTAACACTCCTTCTTTAAGTCACTTCATTCAGGCAATGAATGCATTAAAAGTCTGCCAACAGCATATACACAATTTAAAAACATAAAGCTATGAGTCTCAGTTGACCCTGCAATTGAGTGGAGGACCATCAGGCTCCATTGCTTCCTGCAGTGGGCTAATAGTCCTTAATATTGGTCTTTCTGCCTTCTTTTGTCTCAGATGATTTTGTATCTTTTAATGTTCGTTTTTCTTCCTGAATCTTTAAACTCCTGATTCCAGCACAACAATATTACCTCTGTCTACAATTTTACCTTATCTTGCATGGCTCTAGACTACGTACTTTCTCACAGCTCCTCACAGTTCAGCAATTTTTGCACAAGTCGGGCTGCACCCTGATAACATTATGTAGCCCACAGATTCTGAACAGTACTGGGGAACTGTTCAGATTTCCACGTGGAGTCTGTCTTCTAGATATGCGGTTATAAACTTAACTTTTTGTCACTGAATGAACCAGTGAGGTCCCTATAAGGAAATGCTATACATGCTAACGAGTAAGAGGCACAACATCCATCCTTCCATGTTATCACTACCAAGTAAAAAATCGAAAAAATTTAAAAATAGAGTGAGGCCCGTTGCACACAGCGAGAGGCCGTGTGGGTGCGGTTCCAGGCCGAGCCGCAGCACCGCGGGGCAGGCCCCTGCCCGACCCCACTCTGGCCGCCCGGGCTCCCCTCCGTTGCCCCACTGCCTCCGGCACCGGCAGCCGCCGCTGCTGGCGAAAGCCGGGGCCAGCCGAGGGCATGCCCCG